CTCTCTCTCTCTCTCTCTCACACACACACACACTCTCTCTCTCTTACACACACACATACACACACACTCTCTCTCTCACACACACACACACACACACACACACACACACTCACGTTTTAGGGGTTAGGAGGACCCCAACCATCTCAAGGACCCGTGAGCAGTTCAATAAATAAAAGTGCATAAAATAAATTTTTCAGTCCACTCGTTTTGGAAAATAAAATAATGTCAAACCATCTCAATTACCAAAATAACATGAGTAATTTAAACAAAGCATAATTATTTCTAATTAAAAAAAAAAGTTTAAACATCACCTCCATAATTTTCTGTCCTGGATATTTAGCTTCACATATTGGCGTAATAAGTGAACCATAATAATCTTGCAAAGTAATTTTGAATGTTATCAGAAGCTTCGGCTATTGTTACATGGGACTGTTTTATCTTCAAGCTCCTTCATGAGCGCCAGAACCACACGAAGCAGAGAAACAGCGAATGAAAACACAGCGTTACCTGTGATCAAGCAGCCAATCAGACACAGCGTGACGCAGGACAGGTGCCTCATGGTCCACATCCACAGAGAAGATCTTTCTGGCGGTCTGTCAGAGAAACCAGTGCGCACACATCCCTCGATTCGGACACAAATGAACTCTCCCTTTCTTTTCCTCCCAGTGTCTCCACCCTCTCGTCTGCCGTCCAGAAACAGGGAGTTGAAGTTCCTTTTTCCTGTTTCCTCTCTCTGTGCTGTGAGGATGGGAAAGGCCGCAGCTCAAACAATCGCATGTCATTAACTGCGGCTCCTGAAGGGAGGCTCCCACTCTTGAGATGAGAGAGACATTCCGCAGCAGCCTTCCTGAGAGAATCAATCTAACCTCTTCATCAGACAGGGATTTTCACCATGACCAACCAAACTTCCAAGTCAAGCTGTTGAGCACATGCCTGTTTTACTGTGATTAGCATTTTATACACGTATTTTGAATGTTTGATGAAATTCTCCTTTCATTGACAGAGATTCAGAGTCTGCATCAGACAGAACATGCTGGAGAGCTTCAGCAGCATGTGGACCAAATGAAGGGCGTGTGTTGTGCTTGGGTTTCCTCTCACACTGTAGAAGAAACGAGAACCAGGAATGGACAGACAACACTTTCACTGGTGAGAACAAGTCTTGAATCTTAAAATGTAGCTACAAAAATTCATGGAACAACCAACCTGAAAATGACAGTACTGTGAAAAGTGACGGTCACTTGTGAATAATTCTGTGGAGGTTTTCAAAAACAATTCTATGGATAGTTATTCATTTATTAACTTAAGTCAAGTCAGAATCTGTTGGTGTTTCCACCCTTTGCCTTCTAAAACAGTTTTGTCCAATGTACGGTGCACTTTTTAAAAAGTTTGCAGATGGTTTGTTCGAAGATCTTTGAGAAGCCCGTTCTTCTGTGGCTCTATCCTTCAGTCTGAACTGTTCCTGTAATCCCGGGCCGACTCGGTCTCTGCGTAGATCTAACAATCTATATAACAGGACTTGCAAAAGTAATGTTTGGAAATGTAAAACTGATATATGTCTTATTTGAAAACTACATAGCATGCGTGTTGGAACAAAACTCTGCAGGGCTCCAGGAACTGAGTTTGATCTGAAGTGTCTGGCACTTTTATGGGTTCATTCCTAACCCTAACCTTCTCCATAGGCGTAATGGTTTTTCTACTGTACAAACTGTATTTATCACTTCAACCCTAACCTAAACCTGCCCCTCACAGGAAACTACAGGCATTTGTACATTTTCAGAAAACTTCATTCTGTATGATTTATAAGCTCGTTTCCTCATGAGGACCAAAAAAATGTCCCCGCAAGGTCAAAATGGATTGGTATTACTGTCCTTGTGGGGACATTTGGCCCTCATGCCGTAAGGAATACCAGGTACACACACACACTTGCTTCTTATTTTAGTGGGGATTTTCCATTGACATCTACAGAAATCCATCAACAGAATATATTTTCATCTTCCTGCTATTAATCTAAGATTCCTGCATTCACAGTTGGGCTTTCACTCGGGTAACATGACAGTTTTCACTGTAAACAGACGCTACAGTGATGCTTCACTCACAGTAACAACACGTGGAATAAAATCAGTCTTTTACTGTGGAAAACACATCACATGAATTACACACCAATGTTATTATTTAGCTCTACAGACTGTGACATGACTCGATTCTCACCGATAACACAAGACTGTGTGGGATACACCTGAGATTATGAAATGTGGATCATATTCTAGAATCGCAGTGTGATCTCATCTTGAACAGGAAGTGGGTTTGTAAGCTGCTGCAGACAGGAAGTGCCCCCCCTCCTCAGTTTCTCTGCAGGGTATCGACCAGTATCTTATTGTACTCCAGCAGTTGTTTGTTGACGTTCTTCATCACTGGGCGGTAATCGCTCTCTACACCTTTGGAGGCGATGACTGCACAATAGAGTTAAGGAGGGCTACACATCAACTGTATTTACACTTCTCATAGAGATCCATACATGATAAAAGATACATTCTTTCATCACAAAGTTGTTCTGCTCAAGATGTTGCCACTTCCTCTCCATATTGGTCAGCTGGAAAGAGGACAGCAAAACATGAAATCACAAACACAACTGAAAAACTCAGCGAGTATGTTTACACATTCAGCTCTATTTGGCTCATCATGCAGATAAACTTCAGTCTCAAAGTCAACTCAAGTCGACTTTATTTGTATAGCACTTTCCACGATACACACTGCTCCACAGCAGCTTTACAGACTGTCATACTGTTATGTCTGTAATGGCTTATAATGTCTTCTATAAATGCTTAAACAGAGCAGCTTTAATGCTGGGAAATATATAACGATGGTGAGGACTCAGATTCATGGATAGCAGGACTAAGTGTGTTTTACGGGGGTCTGACAAATAAGACTGCCTTCATTATTATCCAAAAAAAGAATTGAAGTTCACTCTGTCCCCATCCATCCATCCAACAACAACAAAAGGAACCAAAATGACTGTACTATGTAGCCAAAATATGTCTTGGATGTTATTTGAAAACATGCAGAAAACACCATTTTACTGATCTCATATCACGGGCTGAAAACACTGAGGAAAAGAAAGATGTTTGATGTCACTGAATCTCCACACAGAGGTGTATGCAGCAGCCTCGAGCTGAATTAATTATAAGATCAAACGCTTGATGAAAATATATTGACTGAAATATATTAATCTCCCTTTGAGGGAGTAAAATGAAATTAAGAAAACATGTTTGAATTTACAGAATATTTTAGAATGCTGCGGTTTCCAAAAACCCTGGAAAAGGTCATTTTCTTGAGTGCACGTACACACGGTGACTGAGAAATGTGAATGACCACATCTGAGTTCATGCATTACCCACCAGATCACATCTCTGGAGTCTGAGCGAGTGGTTCCTGCTCTAAAACAGCTCTCGCTAGTGTACGCATGGGCATTACGGGAGAAAATCTAAAGAGTGCATGTGCATGGTGAAATCATGGTCTTTATCAACACAATGTGATGTCTGGACAGTCCGGTTTGCTCTGTTAGACAGAAACGGTCAGTGAAAAGAGTACTGTGCTACTGAGTGAGAAACAGAAACTCATCTGAAGCTGAATGGAGTGTGTATGCTCACCTCCACATGGGTCTCGTTCTCTTGTAACTGGTTCTTAAGAGACTCGCACTCCTCGTTCATGTTGTGTATCCTCATCCTGACTGTGTCCTTCCTCTGAGAGAGTGTTACTCGATCCTCCTGCAGCCTCTGATGGGACAAACGACACACTGAGTGCTGTGAGAGTGAACGAACATAGCCACCACATTTATATTAGATTATGCTATTTATCCATTATTATAAGGGTTAATATAATTTATGGTGTAGGCTACAGTGAGAAAAACAAACATTGTGATTATGTTTTATTTATCGTCATTATACTCCAGTTTGTATATCAGTGAAGCATAAGTTGTGTTCAGCAGTGTTTATTACAAATCATGGGAGAACTGAGTGAAGAAGGGCAAATAACGGCGGCCCGTTTAGCAGGAGCGTCTGTAACCTTAACAGCCCAATAGTTTGGTGTTTTAAGAACAACAATCTTTATGATTTTAACTGCAGACACAAAGCATGGCAAGACTTCATCAGAGAAGAAGAATAGTGAATGAAAGAGACCATCGGACAGACGCTACGAACCATTGTGTCCAAACAACACAGAAGTACTGCAGCACAGTGACAGAAAACATTCACCTTGAAGAACCCGTTTCCACAAAAACCCACCATGAGAACGTCACAGAGCCAGCAGCCACGAAAGAGCTGCAACTGCTAGAACTTTAGTCAGACACCAATACTAAACCGTGAAACAGATAGTGTCACGATCATCAAACCTGAACTGCTGGAGCAGCAAGATGCACTTAAACATCTGCCAGACTAATCACCTGACTGAATATGATCGAAGCACTGTGGACAGAAGCAGATTCGCTCCAACGTCTCTGACGCTCCGATCTTACAAGACTAATGATCTTAAAGCTCATCTCAAAGACATACATCAGCAATTTATCAAGAATATCACAAACTTACATTTCAATGCTTCAGATGGCTAAACATTTATTGGCCTCACTGAAGGGTTAGTAATGTTTGAAGCCTTGCACGTTTTAATCCGCAATTTTCTTGCTGAAATTGATATTTCAGAGCGAACAGAAACTATTAGACTAATAGAGCTGCTGAGTGTGTAAACGGTGGATTCCTGACCTTCTTGCGGTCTTCTCCGGCAGCTTTGAGAGCGTCCAGATCTCTGTATGTGTGGATCTCTTGCGTCATGAGCTTGAGCTGATCTCTCAGAGTTTGCAGCTCTGCGCTCACTTTGCTTTCCAGCTGCTCCACCTTCAGCAGATCCAGCTGTAGACGCTCACTTTCTGCAAGAATAAACACACCGTACAAACATACATCACAAAACATCAGCATGTCAAATATAAAAGCTGTATTTGGTCTGTGTAGGGCTGCCGTTTTTCCTACAGGTGTCACTACAAACAAACTCTCTCTTTACACAATACAGATCGCTTTGCAACTTCACAGTAACACAGAATCAGTGCTGCAAACTTCCAAATCTGCTGTAAAGCAGCTCCACAGAAGACGATAGTGTCATTATTCAGATCAGTTTAGTTCAGTGTAATAATGGTGTAAAGTTCGGTTCGGCTCCAAGCAGCTCTTCAGAAGACAATAGTGTCCTTAAAGCGACAGCAAACATCATGGAGCTTTACCCATTAGGTGTCTTTTAACCTCAAGACTTTGGCTAATTTTCACAATCACTTCTTTGCCGCATGTACATGTGTAATGTGAGAAGAGCATGAGAGCAGGAAGCAGTACAGGGTTCAAAGGTCATGATCTATTACCTTTGGAAACGATTGCAAGCAAATTTTGGCTTCTCCGTTACAAAGATTCATGACACACTTAAACCTGCTACAAGAAACAGGAAGTGCCTGCTGGTCAGTGTGAGATGCAGAAAAGCCCGTCATCGGAGATATTGAGCCCTAATCTCTGTCCCACCAGGAGACCTGCTGATCTGTGTGTGTGTGTGTGTGTGTGTGTGTGTGGGCGTTTTTGTGACAAATGAGGACATAAATGTGTATAATGACAAAGGTATAACATAGGTATTACAAGGAGAAGGTGACTTTTCAGGACATTACCCCATGTCCCCACTTTTCAAAACGCTTATAAATCACACAGAATGGAGTGTATTGAAAATCTGAAATAGCACAAAGTCTCCTGTGAGGGGTAGGTTTAGGGGTAGGGTTGGTGTAGGGCAATAGAATATACGGTCTGTACAGTATAAAAACCATTACGCCTATGGAGACTCCCCACTTTTCACAAATGTAAACCTGTGTGTGTGTGTCTATGCAGTGTGTGTGCGTGCGTGCATGTGTGTGTGTGTGCGTGTGAGTGACCTAACCATAACAGTAAAAAAAACCCTGTCAGCACTTCTGAGCACTCTGGACTGTTTCCTTTTCTAGGTGTCCTTTCACCAGTGCTCCAATCTGACCATCAACACACACACAAACACATAGACACACACACAGACAGACAGACACACACACACACACACAAACACATAGACACACACACACTCACATTCACACTAACTCACACACACATAGACACACAAACAGACATACACACACACACACACACAGACACAAACACACACACACTCACTCACATTCACACACACACAGAGAGACAGACACACACACACACTCACTCTCTCTCTCTCTCACACACACACACACACACATCATGTATTTCCGCAGCTCCTTTAACCTCTGGGATGAAAGCAGGGTTTGAATTACTGGAAATATTTCTTCATGAGCAGCAGTCATTATACAGATCACTGCATGTTTATTAATGTAGTGCAGCTTTATGACTAACAGTTGAAGTTCTTCCTCCTCACAAATATTGCCTCCCTCTCTCTCAAACACACACACACACACACAGCAAATGTCTTCAAAATCTGTTTCTGCTGGACTGTGAATATGAAATAATACAAGATCATCAAATAGAGACAAACAATGCCTGACTGCTAGGAAGAGAGACACTCAGAGGAAGCCGTGTGGTGCGTTTCTCGATGGCTCTGAGGAGATAAGACCATGTTTGGGAATTAGAGAAGAACGTCTTATACAAAAGAAGGAAAGGCCCTTCACTGGCCAGCAGCTCACACCTGAATAAATGACAGAGAGAGAAAGAGAGGAGGATCTTCAGCTGTTCGCACTCAGACAGTGATCTGACAGTGTTCCTCATATAGGCCAGACTTACACAGACATGAGATCACCCGCAGACAGCCATGAGAGACGGACAGCGCTGGAGCAGACAGATAGAGAGAGAGAGACTAACCTGAGGAAAGGCCTTTCGCTGTGCTTTGAGACTTCTGCATCTCCGTCTCTTTGAAGCTCAGATCCTCCTGCATGGACCGGAGCTCTTGAGCGGTGACTGCTGACAGCTGCTGCAGACGATTGATGTTCTGGAGAGAAAAACCACAGTGCATGAAAAAGACAAGTGAATGCCTGCTATGTCGAAGAGTGTCTGGCCTGAAGTGAGGTCAGATGAGCCGTACCCTGCTGGAGTGCTCCAGTAACGCCACGATGCTGCTCTGTGCGTCTCTGATCAGCTGCTGCTCCTGAGATGTATTCTCCTCAAACGTGTTCAGATATGCTGTAAGAACACACATCATCAGCTCATCAATCTGATAATAAACACACGAGAGGATTGTTTAGACTTGAGGTTGGCCCAGGGTGACCTTTGATTTGGCCCATCATTTCTTACAAAAATGAAGAAAGAAAAATTGCCATTAAAGCATATCTTCATTTCTTATTTTGCTTTAACATTTTTCTTTTATTTTTGCATTGAAAAGTAAAAAAACAAGTGAATTTGATAAAAAAAAAAAAAGAACATAAAAAGCATTTATTACATTTTTTAATTACTTTAATTATTTAGAGATATTTCATACATTTGAATGTAATGGAGTTTTAATGCAACATTTACATTCAGCATTGTGTGAAAGTGACAAAGACTCACAGTCGATTTCCTCTTCTCTCTTCTGCAGCTCCTTGTACTTCTGGGTCCGTTCCCCTGTGGATTTAAATAAATCACACTATAAACCACACTATTTATCACTATTTATACCAGGGCTTCTCAACTCTGGCCCTCGAGGTCCACTTTCCTGCAGAGTTCACCTCAAATCTTGATCAAACTCACCTGCCTGTAGCTTTCTAGTACTCCTGAAGAACTGGATTAGCTTGTTCAGGTGTGTTAGATCAAGATTTGAGAAACTCTGCAGGAAAATAGACCTCGAGGGCCAGAGCTGAGAACCCCTGATTTATACTAAAAACCGTATAGAAGAGTGCATAAGTGTACACAAACTGGGAGCAGGCTCCTTCGGTCTGCCCAATCATGCTGAGGTAATAAGAAGGAAGAATCATAATCATAATTATTATTATTATTAAATAGTAATACACTTATTTTATTATTTTTGTTCTGAGTATCAGCACAGTCATAGCAATATTCATTCCACTAAAGACACATTAAAGCCTACATTAAAAATAAATATTATTGTAATGCACTTATGGCTGAAAGCTCGATCAGTACAGTTCTAACCAGAGCCAGGAAAATCAGTCCCATCAGTCTGATCGAGTCCTGACCCTAGCAGTCTGAACTGAAACAGCAGCAGACACCGAACGTCCAGCGCACACAGCTTCACTGATCATAGTACATGCGTTTTAATTCCCATGCACTGATTGGTGCAAAACATTCATTTTACAGCTTGCCATTAAACTTCAAAGCTTCACTGACCATGTATTTCTGTTTTGTTTTGTTGTTTGTTGTCAATGTATATGTCACCATTACGTGTATATTTTAATTTATAGTGAATGAATGTTGATTTATTGTTGGCTATCTTTATGTTAGTTTTATGTTACCTGCCTAGGGACTGCAGATGAAAAGTAGTTATTGTTACTAATTCTGGCATATTTACATGATGTATATTTATACAACAATGTTCATGAATATGCATGGTCCCTATTAAATAAACCAATACATAAATAAATAAATAAATGTGCACAAACCTCAACCACTAAAGAAAGTACAAAACAATTCTGGCAAATATATTCATTTTGATCAAATATTTGTGGTCGAATATTAATTTTAGGTTTAAAATGAACAATATTTCATTGAAATGCAGCATACAATGCGTGACTATTTTTTAAGACATAAATTAGATACAGATAAATAAGTGTACTAACTGAAAACAGCAGAGCTTGAATCAGGCTTGTCATCTACTATTGTCCCCTTCACCATTCCTTTCTCTCTAAACCAGCACAGATCATCCCAATTAAATGAATGTATTTAGAGAAAACAGCACCTTGATGTTCCTCCATGTCAGCGTCTAGTTGTCGCATCTCTTCCGTCAGATGGCTAATTTTCTCACGTACCTCGGACAGCCTTCATAAAAACAGGATGTTAATTTTGGTCTTTTTTATGAATCAATCATAAGACATACACTGTATAAGTAAATATGATAAACTGCTACGAATATTGCATACAGCACATGGGCGTTTTCAGTGCAGTGATGCGCATCTAACGAGTGAATATCCACGTTTGAACAAAACAAACACACACATGTTTTAGAAATACATACTGTCGTTCCATGCTGGCTATTTCCTGGTTGTTTTCTTTCACCTGAAACCAGCAAAAGAACAATCGTGAAGTAAAGTCACTTGAAATATTTTAATGCAAAATATAAATAAATGATTTAGAGACCTGTTTAAAGAGGCTTTCTCGCTCCTCTTGTGGCGAGCCCATGGTCCTGTCTTCCGCCAGCATGGCGTCTCTACGGTTCTCCAGCTCCAGTAGTTTCTCGTGCAGCACGACTGCTTCCTGTTTGGCCTGAGAGTGAACCAGATCCTGCAAGCACAAGACACAAGAGTGTGAATGTTTGTAGCAGCAGCGATTTCTAATGTGTACAGTAGTACAGTGTTTGTGTGTGTGTGTGTGTGTGTGTGTGTGTGTGTGTGTGTGTGTGTCCACTCACCGCCTCAAACGTCTCCTTCCTACTCATCAGAGCGTCCAGTTCCTCTTGAAGGGAATCCAGCTCCTGGATGCAGATGAGAGACAGCGGATACGGCATGACAGTGAATAACAGTAAACTTGGAATCACTCTCACAAATCATTCACAGACTTGAATTTGATGTTTGGAGCCAGTAGTGAAGCTGTTAACTGAAGTAAACTAGACTTTATGTAGACCTGTGTCACTTATTGATTTTTGTTTTTAGCATTAACATCCATTTGACGTACACTTTTATCCAAAGTGACATGGAAAAGTGACTAGTTATTTCTCCAGATCTTGCATTGCCTGGGAATCAAGCCTATGACACTGGTGTCGCTATCACTCCCCATGTTTGACTGTTTATGTCATATACGACTGTCAAAAAACAACTGGGGACACAGTTTTAAAAAGTCCTTTAAAAAATGAATTGAGGAAGTTAAATGAAAAAGTTCAAAGAAAAAAAAAACACTTCAATATTTATCCAAGTAAACAAAAACAATGAAAATCAACATTGGGTCAGGTAGTGCAATGATTCAATAACTCACTGAACACCAGTCACAGTCATATAACATGAAAAATAATTAAATAAATTATATAAATAAATAATAAAAAGCATTTCCTGAAATACAAGCAAAGAAACACAACATACTTCCTTTATTAGTATTGCAGATATAGTATCACATTTTAATATAAAATACGAAATTCCACCCACTTCCCACCATACTTTGTATCTTCCACTCCCATAATGCATCACAGCAAATGTATAAAAGTTCTTTCAAGTCTTTTAACAAGTCAAGATGGCCGATCCATGTGAAAGCCAACGGTTTGTTGAAGCAATATAAATGAAATGTCCATTGATTTAGTGCTCAGGTGGTCAGTCTGGCAGTTGTGTGTGTATGTGTGTGTGTGTGAGAGTGAGTGTGTGTGTGTGTGTGTGTGTGTGTGTGAGAGTGTGTGTGTGTGTGTGTGAGAGAGAGTGAGTGTGTGTGTGTGAGAGAGTGAGTGAGTGTGTGTGTGTGAGCGTGTGAGTGTATGTGTGTGAGCGTGTGCATGTGCGTGTGAGCGTGTGTGTGAGCGTGTGCGTGAGCGTGTGCGTGTGTGTGTGCGTGTGTGTGAGAGCGTGAGCGTGTGTGTGTGCATGTGTGCATGTGTGAGAGCGTGGGTGTGTGTGAGAGAGAGTGTGAGAGTGTGTGTGTGAGAGCGTGTGAGTGTGTGTGTGAGAGCGTGTGAGTGTGTGTGTGAGAGCGTGTGAGTGTGTGTGTGAGAGCGTGTGAGTGTGTGTGTGAGAGCGTGTGAGTGTGTGTGTGAGAGCGTGTGAGTGTGTGTGTGAGAGCGTGTGAGTGTGTGTGTGAGAGCGTGTGAGTGTGTGTGTGAGAGCGTGTGAGTGTGTGTGTGAGAGCGTGTGAGTGTGTGTGTGAGAGCGTGTGAGTGTGTGTGTGAGAGCGTGTGAGTGTGTGTGTGAGAGCGTGTGAGTGTGTGTGTGAGAGCGTGTGAGTGTGTGTGTGAGAGCGTGTGAGTGTGTGTGTGAGAGCGTGTGAGTGTGTGTGTGAGAGCGTGTGAGTGTGTGTGTGAGAGCGTGTGAGTGTGTGTGTGAGAGCGTGTGAGTGTGTGTGTGTGAGCGTGTGCATGTGCGTGTGAGCGTGTGTGTGAGCGTGTGCGTGAGCGTGTGCGTGTGTGTGTGAGTGAGCGTGTGTGTGTGCATGTGTGTGAGAGCGTGAGCGTGTGTGTGTGCATGTGTGCATGTGTGAGAGCGTGTGTGTGTGTGAGAGAGAGTGTGAGAGTGTGTGTGTGAGAGCGTGTGTGTGAGAGAGAGAGAGTGTGAGAGTGTGTGTGTGAGAGAGAGAGAGTGTGAGAGTGTGTCCAACCGCTCTCCACATCAAGGTAAAGGTTAGGTTTTTAAACCAAGTATGGGTTCATATCTTTATCTAAAAATTGTTAACAAAAGGGAATCCAGGGAACGGAGAGCAGCTCTGTGACAATGACACATTAGTGTTGTTACTTGCATTCTGCTGAAACAGTTAGCACACCAGTTCTTAGCGTGGTATTATTGGGTGGAATGAGACAAACCTGCATTAGCTCTTCATTGGTGGCTTTCATCTCAGTGTACTTGGCCTGTTTATCAGCAGACATCTTCTGAATGATGTTTTGGGCAGCCTGCTTCTCTTGGACTATATCATCCTCCACAGCTCTGATCATATCCTCTTTCCTGAGAAAGAGAGTGAAAGTTGTTAGTATACACCATAATCATCCATCCTCATAACACTGAACATCATTCAGCGGCAGATCCTCCTATCCATCCTCTGGACACTGGGCATCACAGGAGCCGCACTCCTCTGGACGTACAGGTATATTCTTCAGGGAACCTTGGGAAAAAACAGACTCCGTCGGGGGCCAGTTCTCCTCTGACCAGACCAAACCAGCATGATGTGGTTTAATTCCAGGCTGCAGCACAGGTCAGATTGGACTAACATAACAGTAATGCTTGAGGTTGAACTAAGCAGTTTATATATTTTTTTTTTATGTATATGTATAGTTTATTATTATTATTTTATTATTTACAGATGTAATTTCAGACTTTTCAGTCTCTTGTTACATTTTTCAAAAATTAAAAAATTAATCAATTTTAACAATACAAAACAATTCTGTTGTCATTTATGTAATCTACGGCTAGCTGTGCATTAAATGATTTTAATGCATGACGTGGAGGCAAAGGACCACTCAACGCACAGCAAAGATCTAGCATTCTGCCCACTTTAAATCAGACACAGAGATGAAGTAGTGCGGAAAGATCACATTTATTTGAATGCATGAATTATAGCATTGATTTGAATTAATTATCGAGAGAGCGGGAGAGAGAGAGAAAGATAAAAGTTGGGATGAAAGTTGCGTATGTGAATTGCGTCTGTGCGTCTCACTCTGCAAACTGTGAAGCTGTGAGTTTAGTTATTTAAAAAATATACATTTTACCATCTAGTAGCTGAGAAATATAATGTATTGATTCAGTATCGAAGCTATTTTACTAATAAAAGTCGTGGGACAGCATTGACAACAAATTTCTGTGCTGTGCTCCTGAATGTTTCAGTGTGTGTGTGAGTGTGTGTGTGAGAGAGAGAGTGTGTGTGTGTGTGTGTGAGAGAGAGAGAGAGAGAGAGTGTGTGTGTGAGAGTGTGTGTGTGAGAGAGAGAGAGAGAGAGAGTGTGTGTGTGAGAGTGTGTGTGTGTGAGAGAGAGAGAGAGAGAGTGTGTGTGTGTGTGTGTG